GGGAGCAGATGGGTGGGAGCAGATGTTTGCGTCATGCCTTCCCCATCCTCCTCTTTCTGAGATAACCCTGGTTGTGATGGTGACAGTTTGGTCCGTGTATGCAAAGCACTGCAAATATACAGTCCCTGTAATACAAAATGAACGTTCTATTTTGCATTGTTTTTGTTTTGGCATAAGCTTATCTTCTGTTGCAAAGTCAAGAACAGTGGTGTTGGTCAGCGTGGTGTTCTTAATGGGCTTTTTTCCCCCCAGTCTTTCTTGCAGGAGTTTCAGTGACAGATTTCTTAATAGAGTCTTCTCAGTGGTGCCCAGTGACAGGACAAGGGGCAATGGGCACAAACTGAAGCATAAGGGGTTTCAGTTGAATATGTGGAAGAACTTCTTTACCTTGAGGATGACAGAGCACTGGAACAGGCTGCCCAGGGGGGTTGTGGAGTCTCCTTCTCTGGAGATATTCAAAGCCCGCCTGGATGATGTTCTGTGAAACATGCTCTAGGTGAACCTGCTTTAGCAGGAGGGTTGGACTAGATGATCTCCGGAGATGCCTTCCAACCCCTGCCATTCTGTGATCTGCAGTTATGTACAGTAGTGCTTCACTGTCCTTGAAGTTATACCTGTTCCCCTCTGTGTAACCAGGATACTGTTTGTTGCAAGTCCATTACATTTTTGCTCACCAGCGTAGATAAAGAAACAATTACTCTTTGGCTCTTTCAAAAGGCTTTTATGTATTTTAGAATTTCTCAACAGGTTCTATTAGCCCAAAGGCTTTATTTGGGGCTGCTATAATTTCTCTTTTGACTTTTGATGGAATATATTAAGAAAAGGCTGTTTTCTGTCTTTTTAACCTCCCACTGATTGATTGAGTTTGCATAAAATGAATGTAACAAGGGAAACCTCATGTAGCGTATTTTATGTTGGTTATAAGAGAATGAATTGTAATCAGTCATTCTAAACTTGGGGTTTTTCTTAGAGAACAGAAAGTATACTTGCTCCCTCTATGAAATGAGAGTTTATTGATATAAAAAGATTGAAGTAAAAGATAGATCTAAAGTGTACCTCCATTATGTGTGCAAAAAACATCTCTAAAGATATTTCATGAAGCAATGCAAAAAAATAAACTGCTTTTCCTGGGAAGGAAGAAGAGTACAGAATATAATGCTATGACTGTTTATACATTTAAGTAATTCTTGAAAAATTATTTTTCAGAGAACCCATTCTAAACTTATCTAGTCAGAAGACTCATACTCACTGTTTTGGAATCATTCTGTTGATGTTTCAGGCTGCCCACATGGTCTTACAAAGCTTGGCTTCTTCCTTCTTAGGAAAAGTTTTATTTTTCGAGGGACACCGCTGCTAGGATATTATAAAACTTCCATGAACATTTTGTAATAACGGATAAAACATGCATACTCCCAAATATATGCATTTTCCCAGAGGAATGAAAAATGTTTTGTAACTTTGGATGTTTAGTTTCACAACGCAGTGAGCTCAAATAAATTGCATCTTATAGCAAGAGGAATATGAAGGAAAGCTCTGGCCCACGTGGGTTTTAGGTGATCATCGTACATTATTTCTTCTGGCAGTGCAGTCCCAATTCCCCAGTCCAGGCCTCAAACCCCTTTGCACCACAGACTCTATTGTGCAGGGAAAACAGAGCCGTACCCTGCCCAGATGATCATTTTATTTGAAGTCTTGACAAGACTGCAGGTGACTGAAGCAAGTGTTTGGGTAAGTCGGGAAGCAAGCACGTTTTGGCAGGTAACTTAACAGTCTCAGAAGTCCCAGATCCCAGCTATGTAGCTAATACCAGATAGAGAGAGATGCAGAAAGACCCCAACTAAAAGAACGTTTTAGGCTGTTTAAATATAAAGTAGTTGGGATATAGTGTACTGCTGAATAAATGAATGAACAGTTTAACAGAACAAAAAAACAAGTTGTCTTGCTTTTGCACAGCCCAGTCCAAGAGTTAAAGGCGAAACCTAATAAATTTTTTTATTTGTGTTGTTTTAGAACGTCAAGCGTGTACATCTATGGCTGGCTCCAGCGTCCTTCCCTCCAACGTGTCTGGTATAAGCAAAGAGCTGATCGAACTGCAGCACCTCATCCAGTTCCCGGAGGAGGTTGCCAGCATTCTGACCGAGCAGGAGCAGGAGCTCTACCGGAAAGTCTTACCCATTGACTACCTCTGCTTTTTAACCAGGGATTTGGGTAATGCTGAATGTCAAAGCAAGCTGCCATCTATTAAAGCTTCCATATCTGCTACTATTCTTTCTTCCCCAAATGGTGAACGTAATACTGTAGAAGATCTTGTGACAAGGTTTAATGAGGTAAGACAAAACTTTTAAATGACTGTTCATAAGGGTTATTACCTGATTTGTGGGTTAGTTATTTCCTTCATCTCTCAGAGCTGAATTTAGCTGTAATGGCAAATTTTTAAAATGTAAGTTGACCAGGGGATTTAGCTAAATAACTTCCACTGAATTTAATAGGAGTTATGTGACCGATTTGCTCAGTGAGTTTGGAAAACTGCAGCCTAAGTTTTTCTTGCACATTGTAAAGTAAACAGGAAGAAAAAAATTACAGACTTGTATTCCTTTGTATTTATAATGACAGTATGGGGTATACTTTCAGTCAGTTTATTATTTTGTTCAGGAGCTGGAGTTTTATTTATTTGTTTTGGATTTTTGTAGACTAAGCATGATCTTAGGAGTCAGCACAGAAGTATTATAAACTAGAAGTTTCTGTATTCTGTATAAATATAACTACACTAATCTGCACTATTTATTTATTTATTTAATTGCTGTGTGTGTCTTGAATGTTGTTATACAAAGTGTCATTTGGCATGACACATTTCCATAAGCCAATTGTGAGTTCTTTACTAAGATTTTACTTTATTTTTAGTAAGGTGATCTTCTGATGAGTTTAATAGAAAATTGATCAAGAATTGAGAAAACTGTAGAAAAAATCCACCCCAAAAACCCAACCCAAAAAGAACCAAACAAAAATCCCTAGGTAAAATATCAGTTTATAGTGGCAGAAAAATGAGACAATTCCTTTCTTCCTTTTTTTGTGTGAACCATATGCAATGTTAGCAGTTTCTAGATTCATAAAGTAGAATAAAATGAAGATAGTCTTGACTTAAGCTCTTTTAGTTTCTTATCTACTTCATTCTTATGCTTTAATAAGAGGCGAAAATTGTGCAGGTACCGAAAAGACAGCACAAAATTAAGTAGATAGAGCAGAATGTGTATTAACCCACAGTGAACTTCCTGCTTCCTGGGCAAATAAGAATCAGTGACTGAATATTTAGCATGTTTGGAAGTGTTCCTGCTTCTTGCATGTTACTGAGATTTAGGAACTAAAATGGTGTAAATATGTTGGCTTCTCTCACCTAATTCTGTTATGGGAACATGAATAAAAGTTTCAACTACAACGTTCAGTCTTTAGACAGAGCCTCAAAATTGTTTAAATTAGCTCCAGTTACTGTATTTAGGACAATACTGTGGCTGATGCATAGCTGGAGAGGAGTCCAGCTCCTGCCCCAGCCAGGGTCCTCCTCCCCGTGGCGTTTCTCTTATGGTGACCACCATAGGGAGGGCTGTGGGAGGAAGGTGGAGTGGTCAACCTCAAGTATGACCTGGGGAGGCCCAGTGCCAGAGCCATTCGTCAGGACGTTTTGCAGTTAGCTGTACAAATGAGATTGACCGTCATGTGTTGTGACACAGGATTGAAGAGCAAGTAGGTGGTGAAGAAGTCTTGTCAGAAATGACTGAGGCTGTTCCATATCAATGAGAACTTTAATGTTAAGGTTGCCTTTTGGTGAAATAGTCAACGTTATCTTTCACTGTTAGAGGTTGGTGACTTTGCAGTTTTTGTAATCTAGCATTACTTGTTTGGTAATGCTACAGGATAATTTTTCATATTATTTGAATTAATTCCTCAATATATCCAGAGCATGGATTATATAATATTTAGTGCAATGGAATATCTTAAGTATATTCTGGAATAATTTCTAAAAACATAGATGTTATATGTTTAGATGGAGGTACTGTACAATATTTACTGCTTGTAATATATCACTGTTTGCTATCTGCTTTATCTTATGGTGGAGCATATCGGTTGCCATAGCCAATCCCAGGCGTGAACTTTCAAAATGTCTCTGTTTATAAATGGTGAGGAAATTCCTGTGCAAAGAGTCATGCTTTTGTTGGCAAAAGTCAGGGAGCACTTGCTGATTTTTTTTGGCATTGCCTATAGAAATACTGAAGTGTATTTATAATGTGGGAGCCAGAATGACTTTTAGGATGACAGGCTTCTGATACATAATGGGGAAAAAATAATTTCATGCCATTGTTCTGTTAAATTAGCAATTATAGAATATAAAGGATTTTTCATAAAGCAACATGCTTTTTAGTAAGTTTTGTGACACTTACTACATACTAATGAGGAACACTTTTTAACACTTGTTTAAAATGACAGCCAATAATTGCTCTTCTGTTACATAAAGGAGCTTCTTTATTTAATAGAAAAAATACTGACATTTTCATGGAAGCTTAGATTGAATAAGAGCTGCAGGAGTGTTATAAAATAATAATTAAAAATAATGAAGATTAAAATATTTTCAAATTATTAAAATACCTTTTAAAAAGTGAGTTTAAGTGGAAAGTAGGGGAAAATTTGGTCTTATTTAAGGAAATTTTGTTAGTATTATTTACTTTTTAAATTCCAGTAACTCCCAGAAGCTTCATGACTGAAGTTGCAAACTCCCATTGCCTGCAGAGTGCAAGATAAAGCAGTAGATATTGGGAAACATCACATGGTTCCCCTATAATTTAAATATGTTTGCTGTTACAAAACTGTTGTTTTCTAGATGTGAATGATTTAAAAACTGTTACTGGTGAGATATATGGAGTTATGAGTATCTTCTAATCATTTCTTTAAACCTTTCTGTTTACTATTGATTAGTGTTGCTTCATATGAATTACAGTATTTGGACCTCAGTGGGGTTTTAAAGGTATAGGGAAGACTTACACAGGAGAAGTCACTTCTGTTGAGTGGTGAGCCTTAAGCGTTTGCCATGGAAGTGGTCTGTGAAGAACTGCAGAACTGAATCAGAAATCAGTTGCCCTCTGCAGTAAGTAAAATTGGTACTCAAAGACAATTGACACGGCTGAACATGCAGTACATCACTGCTGTTATTTTTCCCACTCAGTTCTCGTTTGTCAAAAAGTGTAATAGTGGGCATACTCTCTAACACTGGGTGAAGCCTGTAATGTGCATTTTCTTTTGCCGCATTACCTGGGTAAGGTGTTTTGACTTGCAATACTGGAAGTGATTCAGTGGTCCCATGAATGTTGATGATCCATCAGGAACAATTCCTAAAACTTTTTTTCTCTAGAAAGGCAGGATTACAGTAGCTGGAGCTTTAGCCAACTTCAGTGTTTCATTGTATTGGTAGCTTCTTTTAACATCTTGAGAGTCTTGCAAGATTTCTGAAAATTATTGGGTGTCTTAGTATGGCAATGGAAATACATTTTTATCAGATAGTCTTGTTCCGAGATTCCAGCATTGTGAGCCTGATGAGAGGAGCTGAAAGTGTAAAAAGGATTAAAAAAAAAAAAAATCAAAAATTAAGAAGTATATAGTGAGAAGTCTGCATCACAAGTAACTTAACATGAAAGGAGAAAAGTTGTGATTGTGCCTTGGGCCAGGACTTTGCATTGAAGTGGGATGTGTGAGCCCATTCCTTGATGAAGGTTGAATAGGCTTTTGGCCAGCTAGACATTAACCAGTATCTTAGTGTTGCCAAACGACAGTGCAAAAAATAAGTAGTGATAGGTGGTAGAAATTTAATTTGTGCGCCTTGCCTGATTTTTTGGGGTTTGTTTTTTTTTTTTTTGAAAATAGGAGCTCTATTCTTTAAAGGCAAGGTAACCAACTTAAGCGTTTAGGAGAGCCCCTTTGTTACTGTCTCTGCACCTTGCCTGAAGAGCCACACAGTTTGTTTTTAACCTGCAACAGCCTGAACGCAGGTGTTGGCGCCTGCTCAGGGTGTCGGCGCCTGAGGCCGCTCTCCTGGGAAGAGGCACAGTGTGTTTGCCTCTGGGAGCTGCCGTAGCCGCTCGCCCTGCCCTGCTTTGCCTGGCTTTAGTGCATGCTTTGGCCGTAACGTCAGGGGTACAGCAAGGAACGCTACTGCAGCTGGAGATACCTTTATCTGTCACAGATAGTGGATGAAACTAATAACTGAGTGGCTTTTGTTTCTGATACGTGAAGATCTTCAAAAAATAAACAACAGAGATTGGAGAAATAGGTTACCTTTATTAATATTCACAAAAGATGGAAATTACAGCACTCTAGATCCTCTTCACGAATACAGTTTTTCTTTTCTCTGTCAAGAACGACAGGGGAGAAAAATTGTAGTAGTGTAAGTAGCGTAGAGACATGAAAGATGGATAGCATGGATTAAAGCTACCGTCAGACACGCCACGCATAGCAGCACAGACATGCAGCTGGCAAATCCTGTCCTGCTGGGAACGGAAACTGCCCTTGTTCAAGAGAGCGTGGTTATGGCTTAGACCTGACATACAGTTATGAGAGGGGATTCAGGCATTCTGCACTTGCCTGTGTCCTTTCTTGTCATGGATTTCCAAGTATCAGTTTATTCCCTACTGTGTTAATCAAGGTGGCTGCCATGAAAAGGAGCTTGAACTCCCAATGGCTTGTTTCAAAAATATGTTGTGAGAAAGGTCAGTCATGAACGATCTGCTCGAATCCCGCAAAATGGGATGGAATACATTCTTGGATTGTATTTCATTTGTATTTTAAATGTTTTGGGTCATTCCAGCTCTCAAGTCTGTACAGAAGTTCACAGGGAAGCAAAATATTCACAGGCAAATAAGAATCTTACAATCTGCTGATGTTACAGTTTGTCTGCAGGATTCACTGTCTCTGATGGAGTTTTCAGACAGATAGATGTTCATATGACTTACAGCCCAGTCACTAGAGACTTGTAATATTTACATACGTAGACATATTTTTTTGGGCTTTGCTTCCCTTCCCATATAGAAAGATGGTAGTCATGGTGGAGATTGCCACTGAGGTTTAAGTAACTTCTGTAATGCTGCTATGGAAAGCCTGATCACTACTGTTTAAGAAATAGTTCATAAAACTGAAGTTAAAAAATAAGCAAGGAACTAGAGGACTTTTTGACTTGTGGAATAGATGCAGTAGACTTGAAAAAGCAAAAGTTAAAAATGGATAACCACAGAAGGATGAGAGATGCAGACAAAAGGTATTACCGAGTCACTGTGATTACATACCACAC